ATCTCTGTTGGAGTGGGCAGCTTTCACCTGTGCAAGGTGTTTCTGATGCCACACTGGGTGTTTTCAGCTCACTAGACCACGTTTAGATAGGCATTGGCAGCATTCTGTCTGCAAATGTTTTAAAAACTGCCATGCAGGAGGTAAATCCAGATTCTTTTCCCCTTTCTGGGAAGTAAACCCAGTCCTGGGGGGAGATGCCAGGATCTAGAAATACAAGATAAACCTGTCTTTGTGCAGACTGAGCAGAGCATTGCCAGCTCTGCTCCCACCATCCTGTGTGAAATCCTGGCCCTGAGGAGAACTGTGTCTCTCCTTGGTATTTCTGAGAAACAGCCCAGAGAAACGCTGGAGTTCTCAGCAGAATTGTGGCAGCTTCTCTCCCACAGCCCAATAAACCCTTCCCAGTAATGAGCAGCTTTGGCTGCTGCTGGTGCAGCTGCATTCACACCCTCCCTCCATGAACCCTCCTGCCTCATCCCTCTGCCCCAAATCTGTGCCTGAATTATTCCAAAAGGCCTTTATCCTGAGGCACAGGCTCCGTCCTTGTGCAGTTAAAAAATACCCTGGGGATCTTTCATTCTCAGAATTAGTGCTAAAAAATGCCATCAATAAATGGTTTATGGATCAATTGTGTCTGATAGGGAACATCCTGAGGAAGTTGTGAGTGTTCAGCTGGATTGGGCTCACAGCCTGTTCCCCCAGCAGTGCAGGTTCAGTGTTTCCCTGCCTCTGGAACCAGGACTGAGTGCCTGCACAGGGAAATCAGGCCATGAGAAGTGGGCTGGAGAGGAGGAGGAACCCCCCTTTTCTTTCCCTAAATAGCTGCTGGCCCTGAGGACTGGCTGTTTGTGATTGATTCTGTCCCACCCACGAGCAGGGGGAGGCTGGGAGGAGGATTCCCAAACAAAGTGAAGTGAGATTGGCATCTCTGGAGCACCATCATTGCTCTGGGGGCAGAGCCAGGGCAGCAAAGTGCAGCAGACATCACCTTGGAGGGCACTGAACTCCTCCTCTGCTTACCTTTGGTTCCTGTGTCCCCCGTGCTGCAGGCAGGGAGGGATGCAACAGGAAAAGTGAGTTATTCCAGTCCTGGGGAGCCTCTGGAACTCCTGGGAGAAGGCAGGAGTGCGTGTGGGTGCATTTTGGGGGTGCAGTGCAAGGGATGAGGGATGTGGGGGGGACAACTCAGCAAGAAGGCAGCCCTGGGAGCAAGGCAGACATCAAACACCCCACACAGGTCCCACAGGCAGGACAGAAGTTGCTGTAACTCTTCAGCTCACTTTTATTTAAGTTCTGTGATCAGTCTTTTCCATCTGCAAGAGCTCTGGTGTCAGTGCCACCAACACATGGAACAGAACCCGTGACATTTCACCCTGGTACCAGGAAGAACAGCTCCATCTTTGAGATTTTTTTCAACCTAAGTGACTCTCTATCCTACAATACCAGTTCCTGCCATGCACTGCCAGCCCACTGGATCCCACTCCACCAGTTTCCAGTTGGACTTGTTCAGCAATCCACGCCCAGCAGCACTGCTGGATGGCTCAGTCTCCAGAGCAGGGATCTTTGAAAGTCAATTGGCACCGTGTCAGCAGGAGAACACCTCCCCTTGGCCCTGATTTCAGCACCTGCAAGCTCCCCCAGCCAGGGGCAGCCTTATCGTGGAGCAAAGTGAGGATTAAGCCCCTGGCAGCAGGTGCAGGGAAGTTTGGAAAGAGCCATTGGGCAAACTCTGGGTGACCGTAGGGAAAGGGAGGGAGGAGTAAGAGCCCTGAATCAGAACCATTTCCAAGCAGAGATTTGTAAATCCAAAACAGTGGACTCACTGTTTCTTACTTCAGGGCTTTCCTTCAGGGTTTTCCCCCTTCCCTAGGGGCAAAGGAATTTGGTGGCGTGTGCGAGTCCCTCTTGCCGTTTTTTTGAGATCAGCCCAGCTCTTCAGGAGAGACAGAGAGAACCAAGACATTCCTGGGCTAAATACCTGTGCTGGCATAAGTCAAACTAACAGCTTTGAACTGAGGCTTCTCCTGCCTTTTACCTTTTCCAGGAGGATTGAAATCCTTTTGCTTTGCTGCAAGCCCAGTAAAACCCTTTGTGGCAGACTTCTGTGGGCTGCTCAAATTCAAAGCTGCACAAGGCAAGCAGAGTTTTTCTGTAATGCTGCAGTTTGTATCCCTGCCTTCCCCTTCCTTATCAAAAGATCTTCATCCCAGACATGGGCAGCAGAGAAAAGCACCTCCAACATGTTCTCTGCCTCCTCTGGCAAGCAATCATTTTGTCTGGCTTCTTTCCTCTTGTATCTGAAGACCTGAACATATTCCACTTCTCATTTAAATTCCTGGATCTGTCTGAAACCACATCAGGTGAAGGCTCCAAATCAAAGCACAGAACAGGCAGCGCTCTGCTATTCCAGGCATGCAGGTAGGGAAGTTTGCAATGGATTTTTGCTTGCTTTTTCCTCATGGTCAGTGGTGCTGGGTTGATTTCAGGGCATCAGAGACCTGTGGGGCTTCCAGCACCTCCTCACCTTTCCAAAGACAGGGAGCAAAGGCAGATTTGGCAGATTCAGTGTGAGGTGACTGTGGTGACTGTGCCTTCAGTTCAGAGCACACCCAGTTTCCAGCTCTGTGGTAACCAGAAAGTACCCAAGGTGTGTTGGGGAGAAAACCAGAGAGAAAAATGCATTTTCTGAATTGAGACGTGGAGCACTGGAGACCTTTGGTGTGAGGGAACGAGTGGCTGGATTCTCTGGAGAATGGCAGAGGAAACGTGAATACAAATAATTCCAGAAAGGTTTGCATCAGTCAGGACTGGCAGGATGGGATTGAAAAGTTATGTGGAGCTCCAAAGCTGTGTCCTGACGATGCTCCCCCGATCCTTTGGGAATGAGGGTGCTCCATGCACCAGCACGTGGCAGAGCTGCTGCTGCCCATTCCAGCTTGGCCAAAAAATGCATCAAGAATTCCCCTTCATCCACTCCTCAGCCAGCCAGGCAGCCCCAGGTCACTCAGCTGATGCACCCACCTGTCATTTAGTGTGAGGCCACCTCCCAGCAGGAAAACACCTGTCCAGGTGCAGCAATTCCCCCCACAAACCTTGTCCTGGTGACCAGCCACCGTCCTGCCTCGAGCACCTGGTGGCAGCGTGCACTGGGGAAGGGCTGGGAAGAGCTGGGGGTGTTTTTTGCCATTCAGGGGCCCAGGGGGATCCGTGGACGTGGTGCCATCCCCCACAGGGCTGTGCTGCCCGGCTGAGCAGGGTAGAAAGTCCTCTCCACATCCAGATGTGTTTGCCAGCCTGCAGGGAATCCACGAGGGAGAGTGACCCAGGTGTGGAGGGACAGGCAGGATGAGGCTCGAGGGGACAGGACACAGAGAACAAGCAGAGCTGCCGAGATCCAGGTGGACAAAAATGAACGAGTGCCTCAGTGCAGGAGCTGGGCTGGGACATCTGTGTGGTCACACCTCCCCTGACAGGAGCTGTCACCTGCTGGGAGTTTCATTTCTCACCTGTACGAGCAGCACTGACAGGTTTTGGGTGCCTGGGCAGCAGGATAAAGGTGTGGTGCCCACCTCTCCCTCCCACATGCCCTCAGCTCAAGCGTCCTCACTTTTCCCAGAGGGATTTTAGTGTCTGCAAAATGCCAAATTCCCGAGCTGAGCCAAAGCAAAGGAAATGCCCTCTGGCCACAAATCTTTATCCCCTTGTTCAGAACCGTCCCAGCCATCCCCTCCTCATGCCATGGGTGAAACAGAAGGAAGTTATCCCTGAAACCAAGCTCTTAGGCAGGATGCTCATTCCTTGTCCTCCTCTTCCTCTTCTTTGCTGTTATATACATTGAAGTGTATATCGATATATTTTTTTTTCTCTAATACAAGTGAACACAAATGTGATGTGGAGATAAATTCCCTTCTCTAAAACACTTTGTGGTCACAGGAATGTACACGTTTGGATTTACACACCCACACACATTCCAATATCAAAAAAAGGTGTAGTCCCAAAACTAAGATGCTTTTATAAAAGTTAAAAGGCCAGATTCCTCTATTGGCTTTTATCCTTCATTAAGAGCAAGGAGATTACCTGAAATCCTAATTTATTCTTCATATTCTGCCTGAGTTAATTTTAAAATTCCAATCAACAGATGTGAGGAAGAGAGGGGGGAAAAGCTCGTGGGGGGCCATGTTAGGCTTTGAAAGGAAAATTAGAGAGAATGTTTTCCTTTATAATTATTTTCTCCTTTGGGTTTCAGGTTATCAGACCTGTTATTTTAAGGATGCTTTCTCCAAATGTGTTGACTCCAAAATATGTCCCCTTTAAAAGAGTCAATCCAAGAGACTGGGAGTGGGAGCAGGAAGGGAAAAGGACAGAAACAAACCGCCTAAACCAAGTCCTGATCTCTATTTTTGGGCTGGTTTTGAGCATCTTTCGTTGTAAGCATCTTATGATTTGGTTCAGCAATCTTGGCTGTTCAGCTCTTCACAAATGGGGATTTGCTATCCCCACTTCCAAGGGGAAAAAGGAGCAGGAGGGGGGGGGAAAAAAAGCCACAGCCTCAGATTTGAGCACTGGCTGTGCTGTAAAACCTCACACAAGCTGCAGCGAGGGCTGTGAATAATCCACACCCGGTGCAAAGAGTGCAGGAATTGACACAGGGGAAAACCTACGGACACTGGACTGGGCTGGGCACATCCCATCCACCACAGGGCAGCTGTCACCCACAGGACACATGCACACACAGAGCCAGGAGGAGAAAAGAAAGATGCAGGGACTGGAGAGGACGTGGGAGAAGGCAGAGTGTTCCCTTGAGCATTAGCAAAGCCAGGCAGACACTTGGAACTAATCATGGCAATTGCACCCGGATTTAAAAACCAATCAATAAAATGAGCGATGGCAAAGGGAGGGGGGGCTGGAAGGCCTTGGTTGGTGACAGGAGAGGTGAATACCATGAGTTTCTTCCTTTTTTTTTTTTTTTTTTTTTTTCCGTGTTGACACTTTAAACATACTGTTCCTTAGGACAGATGTAAGGAGCCCGGGAGCCGGGAGGTGGGCAGCAGAAGGAGATGTCGGAATGGTGAGGATAAAGATCTTGTGGGAGGTCTGACAAGGGGGCATAGACATGAGGGATCTTCTCCAGATATCGATCTTCATGTGAGTAACAGCGGGTCAGGTAATCACTCGCATTCGATATCTCTGAGTGACACTTTCCAAAGTTCTGCAAGTAGAGACAAAAGTCAGCGGGTGAAAACTCCGGGATCGCCGGCCAGAAAACACACACAGCTCTTCAGTTCCTCGCTGAGACACACAGACAGCAAGCAGGATGGAATATTAACTGCTTTACCAAGCTCGCTGCTTCAGGAAAATGGAACCCCGGGTGATAAATCCTCACGCTGCAAAGTTTTTGTCTCACTCCCTGAAATAGCCAGCTCGAGGATGAATATGTATGGATTGGGCATGGTTTGTCCCTTGTCTGTAAATACCCTGCTCTCTGGACTAAACAAGCAGCCAGCCAGAGGAAGGGCAGCTTATTTTCACGCTCTCTAACTCTTTCCACATCTGAGTTTTGGAAAAGCAAAGCTTGAAGGTATCATTAATCTAAGCCAGGGCCGTGCTCTTCCATTTAAAGGGCACCTGTGTCCTACCAGGGCTTGGGATGCAAAATAAGCTTACAGTGGCTGATGTTTACTGGGAGACAGGAGTGCTGGGCTTTACCTGTGTCAACAGCTCCCTGCCAGCCTCGGGGCCGGTTTTGTGAGTCAAATCAGCTACAGAAAACACAAAACCACTTTCAGACCCGAGGCCGCTGTTGGTCCCGTGCTTTTCCCTCTGCTGGGGTTGAGGGAGCATCTCTCCCACAGCCCAGGGCTGCGGCTCCCCAGAGGGTGGCAGCAGATGGGAAGGATTCCTCCCTGCTCCCAGACCCTTTCCTGCTCTGGAAACCCTGCGGGATGACCCAAGCACGATGGACATTTAGCCAGGATGTTTTTAAAACCAACCTGCGCTCAGGGGAGCTCACCAGGAGATAATTTCTTCTCCAAGAGGGAGCAAAGAGCGCTGGAAAACGCTTTGATACTTGTGGTTTGAAGCAAGCAGCTCGTCCTTGAGTCCTTCCTTGTTCCCTTTTAAAACCCGAGGAACAGTCAGTTTAGTGGAAAGGACAAGGCTTTGACCCTCAGGAGAAAATGCCTGAAGGAACAGAACAATCCACTCGGCTCATCTGCTGCCAGTTCCTGGATGAATATTTCACCAGGATGCTTTAAAAAAAAAAAAAAAAACTATGGAAAACAAAGTGTCAACACTAATTTATTGATGGCTCAGACCACTGGGAGAGGCACAAAGGCAATTTTGGGAAGAGCCTGGCTGAGCCCAATGAGGGAAAGTTTGCCTAAGCCCCAGGAAAACAGCAGCAATGCTGAGGTCAACCTCATTTTCATTTCCCTTCCACTGGCAAAACTGTTTATCCTACAGATCAAGCTTTTAAAAGTCAGTAGTGGAGTTGCTGTGCTGGGATCTTAAATTTGGGTGGGCCATTCCCCCAGTTTTGTCCACTTTAGCCTTTTAGTTGCCAAGTGAAAATGTGTACAAGTGCAGCATTAGAGCTTTTTAACTGGAGAAACCCAAGCCAGGGCCATGAAAAAGCCTCACTAACTCAACCTTAAATAAATGTTTGCTGTTCTTCTGACGGCCCCAGCTGATAAAAAGAGGTAAAAAGGGGCTCACAGGTAGGGAAAATGGGATGTGCAAAGTCCTCTCCCTGTACAATCTACTCTTAAGAGCTGTCACACTCAACAGAATCCCTTTCCACACCTGCAAGGGGGAAAAAACTGTATTTAGCCATGCTCTCATCCTGCTTTATAGAGATCATTAATTTTCTGGGTTAAGCTAACCTGAAAGGGAAGTTGTCTTAATTACAGAAATTTAGTAAGACGAAGCAGGCAAGGGGGTTTCTTGTAATTTGTAATCAATTACGTGGGAGGGGAAGTCTGTGTGGGTTTTGGGGATTTGCTAGTGCTGTGTGCAGATCTGATGGACAGAAAGGTTTCCTAGGAGAGATGCTCAGTTAACATAAGTGGAAGTTGAGCTGGGTGTGATCAGGTGGCAGCAGAAGGGGCTGTAAGACACTCTTTTGTGGGCTGACTGTGACAATAGACAGGGTCAGGAAAGCATTTTTCTTCCTGCTTATCTCCCAGTTAATGTGGCCACAAGCCAGGAGCCCGTGAAGCATTGCCAAAGACACCAAGTGCACTTTTGTCAGCACTTCTGTCTGTACAGGTGAGTGCAAACAAATCCTTCTCTTCTTGCTGTGCCCTGTTTTGTGCTCCCTCCTCAAAGGTGGGGCCAGGGCAGGGCAGCTGGAGAATGGCAGGGCCAGAGGAAGAGAATTCCCTGTGTGCTTTTACCTTTCCTCAGCACCTGAACCAGGAGTTGCTTTGCTCCTCTTTTGTTCCCTGAACTCATTTAGAGAGTGGCAAAAGGGAGGAGAACAAAACCAGCCTGGTGTTTTTTAACATATTTAGCAGCCGGTGCCCTTTGACTTCCTTCCCCAGTCCCACTGTGACTTTTCCCCAATCTAATTTATCTTTAACGAAGTTTGAAATTAAATTAGGGATAATGAACTAATTAAATTGAACTGGCACACGATTCTACCACCTTCCCCCACCTGACTTCTCCCACTTGCCTTTGTCTCCAGCATGACTCCATGCAATTCTTCATTATCTGGGTTACATCCTCCCCTCTCAGTTTTATTTCCAAGAGTTTGATTAAAGGGGATGTCAGCAATCTATCCATTTCAGACAGCCTGGCAGATTACCTTTAAACAGGCTTTATTTGATTGAATTAGGGAGCTTTCATTTCTGCCATGACTTTAACTCAACCCTTCTCCATCCCTCCACACCCAATTCCATCTTTTCTTCTATTTGCAGAACATCTCTTTGGGTAGCAGGAGGTGTGAGGCAGCTGACCATGTACTTTTAATCATCTTGGAATAATGAGTTCTTACTGGTCTGAAAGTGAAAAACTCCTTCTCAGTGACCTGAAGATTTCTCTGCTATGGCTTTTGGGAAATCTGAAGATTTTACAGGTGAGAGTTGGACAGGTAATGCTTTTCTCTGCTTGGCCAAGCTCACGGCAAACACATTTTTGCACTTATGGAATATGTTCACTTGTGTTTTCATGGCTGGGAAAAAGCCCTGCTGCTCAAAACTCCTGACATTTTGGGCTGCTACTACCCTAAACTTGCTCATCTGTCAGTTTTGAATTTTGGGCTGCAGCACAGGCTGATGGCCAGGAAGAAGCAGCTCTGTTGAGTGACAGCATCACCAAGTTACTGTCACACTGTGGACCAACCAGTGCAGAGGGGGTGGGGAGACAGAAAATAAACTGGGAACCAAAAATCTAAATATTTCCTCCCGGTGTTGGGAGCCTCACATCCTCTCCTCCCCTGGGTCTGAGCACCTTACTCAGGGTATTTGAGCTGTTTTTCCACTTTCAAGAATGGCCATGATTTTTGGTATCCCTGGGCAGGTTCCTGCTCTGCTTGATGCTTTATCTGTGAGGGAGTTCTTGGATAATCCCTGCCCTGAGTAAAGAACGAGCATTGATGTGTCAGGGATGAGCAGGAACCAGTGGTCCTGAGCTTGGATTTCTGTGAGGACAAACCTGAGGGCAAGTGGGACAGAGGGACTCACCCCTGGGTTCAGGAAATAAAAAGATTGAGCTGAAATTCCCAAAATACAGAGCAAGGACCTGTGGTGAGGGATGATGCATTCAGACACATGCAAGTATCAATTATGCAGAAAACTTGCTCAGAACGTTGCATTCCTTCTCACAGCATGCTTTTCTCTTCCCCTGCTGCCTCTGGTACCTACCTGGTCCATGTTCCTACAGCACCTCACACCATCAGTCATCCCAAACATTTCCCTCCTTGCTGTTTCTCCCCCAAATCCTCCTCTCCACCCTTTTGGAGGCAAGGCAGGGCTGATATCCTCATTTAAAAATGGGAAACTAATAAGGAGCCACCTCTTTGCTTTATTTCTCCTGCAATTTGGAAATGGGAATCTGAACCCTGGTCACTGATTTGCTGTGCTCTTGATCCAAGTCTGATGGTTTCCAGCTATTCTTGCTGCAACAGGGACAAGAAATTCCCAAGCAAAACCGAGAGCTGGAGTGTGGGGAGGTGAAGGGGGAGGAAATAATTTTAAAAAGCATAAAAAAAAAATTAAATTGCCCTGATCTATGGTGTGTCTTAGCAGGGAGATTACACCTTCAAAGCACCATATGACTGGCTTTATTTTTACTTCAGAGAGACTGGGAGGATTTCCAAATTTGGATTTGGAGGATTACTGTCCTTTTGCTGACAATAAAATTCCCCACCCTGGGGAGGACGAGGCGAGACCTCCCAAGATGGATTAGGGAGCTCTTGCCTTGTTTGGAACAGTGGGAGCAGCCCAAGAATCTGTTGGGAATGGGAGGTGAAGACACGAGGGAGAGCGACTGGCTTCAACCACCCCTTCCTCAGGGCTGGAATTCTCATCCCAGAGAGGATGCAGGAGGCTGGAAGTGCCTGGGAGTCCAGAGACAAACAAGCAAATGGAGAAAAGGAAGAACCAAACCCATCCCAAACTTACTGTCCACTCTCGCTCGTTACGTCTACGAAGACCTTGATCCTCATTCTGGGTGAGACACCGCAAGAGAGAGAGGTTATGGATCTGCTCCAGCCCTGCAGACACTCACCTAGGAGGGCTTTTGCTACAGCAGGGGAACTACAGGGCTGCTTCCAGCACGGGAAAACCAGGGAGCACAGGGATAGAGGCAAACTGGAGCACACCTTGCACCCAGGTGTGTGTGTGTGCTGCACCCTCACCCACAGAGCTCCTCATTCAGGGAGACACTGAGCAGCATTGTCCAGTGCTTTAGAAAAAATGCCATTTTCCTCCTGCTTATCCTCCTTCCCTTCCTTGCCCATGATCCAATGTCCTTTATCCTCTCCAAGCCGTCCCTTTCCGTCCCCAAGCTGCCACTTCTCTTGAGCCTGCTCTGATCTCCCTGGGGTGACCAGGAGGGATTTAAGGACCTGAAAAGCACCTCTCCATTTGCTGTCTGCCTTTTCTCCTCTCCTTTCCCTTCCTTTAAGCCCACACGTCCTTCCTGCTGCTGGGAAAGGCAGCAAAATAAAGGGGAAGGAGCAAGGCAGAGTCACCACAGCCTCAGGAATAC